ATATTTTTTCTATATCTTTTCTGCTGTTCTTCTTGCTCAAGTTTTTTAAAAAACAATATTTTTTATAGATTTCTTCCCAATTTTAATAATCCGACAAAAACTACTAATATTTATATTCGTGGTTTACCACCTACTACAACTGATGAATCTTTGCACAAGATGTGTTCGATGTGAGTGCTTTATTTTTTAGAATCAGAAAAATGCATTCTTGTTATGAACTAAATCGAAGACATAATTCATGACAAATATATAGAATGTGTATAAAAAAGGGATATTATATAATAACTTTATTTTGCGAAACAAATTTATTTAATGAAATTACTATAATTACCACATTGGATGTTTATAAGATATCACCTCACAGATAAAAATCTATGGATAATAATAGTTTTTAATATTTGTTTATTTTTTATTTTTTTTTTTTGAAAAACTACCATTAAAAGATACGGTGCTATTACTTCATCGAAGGCTATTATAGATCAAAAACAAGGCGACTGTAAAGGTTATGGTTTTGTTATGTATGAATCTGAAGATCAAGCCAAACATGCCATTGAACAATTGACGCGATTGGGATTGCAAGTTTCCTTCGCCAAGGTTGGTTATGTGAGTGTAACACGCATGTTTGTGATTTTTTGCATTAAAATTCATGTTTGGCGTGCATTACTATATTTTGTTTCATCAAATAATTGTCCAAATATTATTGGAAATCTTAAAAAAATTAAATAGGAATCGTTCAGCACTCGATTGAAGAACCTTCAGGATTTAGCTTCTACAAACATATATTTGTCCAATTTACCGTTGGATATGAATGAACAAGTGAGCATTGAAACATTTTTGGGAGGAGAGTCAGTAGAAAATGGACAATTTTTTTTTAGATTAAAATATTCAGCAACTATCAAACCAAATGTGGTAAAAATTGTTTATTTTAATTCTAATTATATAGAATTAAAATAAAAAATTTTTATAAAATTTGGTTTGATAATTAGAGATATTTAACTTATAAAGTCTAGAAAATTTTATTTAGGAAAAATTGTCCATTTTCTACTAACTTTTCCTATTTGCTCTTTCATAAATATAGACTTCTAAATTTTTTTAATTTTTTGTAGCAATTGGAAGAAATATTCAAGCCCTATAAAGTTGTATCTAACAGAATCCTCAGAGATGCTAGCGGAACAAGTCGTGGAGTTGGATTTGCTAGGTATTTTATTTATTTTATTTTATTTGCATTTTTTGACTGCAGAACCTGCTGAATTATGCCACACAAGTTTTAGTCAGTCCTGTATGTTACCTGGAATGCTTTAAAAAGTATTTACGATATTTAAACAGACAGCATGCTAAGTATTATCCTTCATCGTATTGTAGAATAAATATGCTAAAAAAAGTTCCTATCATATAATTTAATGGATTATGGCATAATAAAATAAATATATACTATATTCCCAATTACCTTTAATAGTACCATTGTCCCTAACAATATTATAATGGTCTTTGCTATTAATATTTAGAATGGAAGACCGCGATTCTGCTTTGGCCATAATTCAAAAGTTTAATGGCTATCAACTTCCTGGAGCCAATTTACCTCTGCAAGTTCGATTTGCCGATTCTTTGGCACAGAAAAAGTTAAAAGGACAGACTGCTAAGAGGCGCATGTGGAGAACTAGAGAATTCCCATCTTTGGGAGGCGTGAGTATTTCATACAATTATTTTATTTACAAATGGACGTGTTTTAGAATGTGAACAGTATTGTTTAAAATAATTATCGAGCAACTCGCATAAATAGAGTATTTATCAATAATTTCTTCTTCACAGAGAATCATTCCACAAGTTCCTGTTACTCCGGAGCATATGTTGGGTATGGCAACACCTGGCTCTCCACCAGGTCATGGGGCTTATCTTCAATATTATTCTGAAGGAGTTCAACCTCCAGGGTATGCATTAACATTGTGTTCATTCATTGAAATAGTTTTATTTATGACCTATGGTTTAATCATATCATTGAATGTTTTAGAGCTTATCCTGCTGGCTCAATTTCTCCTCCATTCGGTCCCCAATATGTTCCGCGGTATTATCAACCGCTTTATTCTGGACCAATTTTACACCATGGAATGGAAGGTCAAATAGTGGCTACTGATACATCAGCACCGAATCCGCCTGAGACCTTAACTAATGACGTTCCTCTGATAGTCACTAGTGATCCCACTGAGGAGTTAAGTGAGTTGGTTAAAACGAAGCTGAATGTTGATGGCGGTGAGAATGATAGTGGAGCTGAAGGAGGAGATACAAAATCATAAATATAATATTTTGAACAGTTCATATATGTATACAATTTTCAATACATACGCCGGCATTTTCGATAGGTGAGATATATGATGAATTTGAACATCTCTTGATTTATTTTCGTTTAACTTATCACTAACGAATGTTTTAATGATCAAGTGCATATTGCTTCAATAATATTTTTTTTTCCTTCATTTAGAGTTGTGTCGGCAATATTTTACTTGAACATTTTACTTTATTTTATTATCTTATTTTATTTTTTTTTTATATTTCCTGTATCTTTTTTTTTTTTTTTGGTTTATTTTTTGAGTTGATCGTTGTTAGTAGGGTTGAGACCTAAACCTTTTTTTTTGAATTATGATATTATTACATAGTTTGGGTTTGGGAATCAGGACTTCTACTTAATTTGGGTTCATAACTAAAATCAAAATATGTATCCCATTTTCGATCAATAATTTCAAACTTAAAAATCAATCTACTTTGTTTAAATTAATGATAATAAAAATACGATATATGCGCATTTAAAATCAAACCTAAATATATTTTGATATATATACTTTATATACTTTAATAAAGATACTGGCGAGGCTACTGATAAGGAAAAAAAAATTAAATAAATAAATAAATTTTAATTATTTTATTTATTAAATAAATATTCAAAAATTAACTTTTTTTGTTGATCCTCTGTACACAAAATTGCAAAAACTAAATATTAACAAATCAAACTCAGTTTTTAAAAAAAGGAAGAAATCTATAAAAAATATTGTTTTTTAAAAAACTTGAGCAAGAAGAACAGCAGAAAAGATATAGAAAAAATAT